CTTGCTTTACTTACGTATAGGATACAGAATTAACATCAATTTCCAATTTTAACAATTTAATTCTATCGATATTTAATTTTATTGCAAGGAAGTGATCATCACGCATATATATTTCCTCGATATATTCAGCCACATCTCCTAGAGTCGTTTTCTCGATTCTTGCCTTCACTCGCTCGGCAAACTCAGAATCTGTGTCATTGACCTGCAAAATATAAAAAATTAATTAAGTTTGTATTTCACATAGAACATGTATGTGTGCGATATATTTACCAATGCTGCTGTTATAATGGGAGTACTGATTTTCGGACTTGCGTTAATAATTTCTTTGATACGTGGCACACCCTGTGTGATATTCATAGCGGCTACACCAGCGAAGTGAAACGTCTTGAGTGTCATTTGAGTCCCTGGTTCGCCGATACTTTGCGCGGCGAGTGCGCCCACAGCCGTGCCTGGTTCTATCTTGGCTCCCATATATTTTTCCTTGCACGTATGAATGAATTCAACTAATTGTGACACAGTGAGACGTTCCAATTCTGAGACTACCGACGAATTCGATTTGATGTTCTGCCGATAACGTGCTATTTTCCATGCAACAGATTTTAGAAATGTGCTACGAGAAACATGACATTCAATTCATTAAAATGGTACTGAACGCAGTTCAAACGATTTGTATAACACATTTATATTGTATATCGTATATTATCTTACGTCAGTTCCTGTTTAAATTCGTTACTCAGACAATCGTACTCCTCGGAGGAGAGCATTTCGTTCGTGGCATTAATTACACTAGCAGCGTCTAACGGTTCTTCTGTTCTGTAAGGCATTTTCGCTCTTACGTGATCATACACTCTTTTATAATCTACAGGACAATCTTTACCTATGGATAGAAAAATATGTATCACTCGCCTTACATCAGGGTTGAGTAGTAACTAAATAGTAACTAGTAGTTAAAAAGTTAAAAGGTGATTAATAAAATTAAAAATTAAAAACTTAATTTTAACTAACTTTTAGTCAATTTTAAATTATTAATTAATTTATAACTTTTTATAACTATTTATTTTTAAAACACATAAATTTTAACTTATTAATTTTTTTCCTAAGTTAAAAATTCACTTATATAGAAGAAAAAATTGTAAAAGAGAAAATGTATTGCCAAATAAAAAAACATTATTTCTTTGTTATTTCATATAAATTTAATTTACAAATAAAATGTTAAATTTATTTTATGATCCATATTGCAATCGTATTGTTTTATTTAGAATATTTTAAATTTAAAAAATTATGACATTCTAATTTAATAGAAATAATGCTAAAATTAATTTTTAACTTAATTTAATTTTAACTGAGTTTATACAATTTTTAACTGAGTTTTTTGTTTCACTTTTAACTAAATTAATTTGTAACTTTTAACATAACATAACTAAATTAATTTTATAAGCCATTAACTTTAACTTAATTTAGTTAAAAAATAATATTAACCTATCCAACTCTGTTTTATATGAAATTCATAATACATTTACATACCTTCCATATACGTAGGATCTAATCCATCTCCGCCATATGGAATCTGAATAATATTACACATCGCATTGCGTACTGTCATATCGTAATGGATACATAGATCCTCTAAACTTTTGATTAATCGTCTCTGCATGTAACCAGTTTCTGCAGTTTTCACAGCAGTATCCGTAAGACCTTCTCTACCACCCATTGCATGAAAATAGAATTCTTTAGATACGAGCCCGGAGTAAAATGAATTTTCTACAAAACCTTTTGCATCCGGAGTCCGTAAACGCGCTGGAACATGAGGTAATGCACGATTTTCGAATCCGTTCGGTACTCTACGACCATTAATAGCCTGTTGACCTACGCAGGCTAAAGAAAGGAATTATATTAAATAATATTAAAACGATTAAACGTAGTAATATATTTATAAAATAATTATTTAAACGTACCGATCATTTGAGAGATGTTGATAAAACTACCCTTACTCCCACAAAGCGCCATAATTAAAGGAGTATTACTAGGATGTAGTTCTTTCAAACACGCTTTACCAACGTTGTCACGAATCACTGATAATTCATTCAATATCTTTGTTTCCAATGTTTCTTCTTCTGAACATCCAGGTTGACAAACAAGGCGACCTTTCTCCATTAGTTGTATGTACTCGTTACATGTGGAATAACTAAATAAATGCAAATCGGATTAGTTATTTATTCAAGAGCAGCCTGTCGAATTTAGACTTGTAATTATTCGTACTGAGTGTTTAACACTTTTTCTTTGGCTCGAAGAAGACCCTGACTAGGTATGAGATCACCGATACCGAGAGAAATTCCTCTATCAAAATTATAATGATTCGTTAGTCTGGTTAAACGCCACATAGCTGTGGCCGCAACATCCTCTCCCCAGTCACGCAACAAAACATAAAATATATTTTGTTTTGATCCCGAGCCCAATACAGACTTATCCATTGTTCCCGCTAGAAGCTCGGAGTTGCGAATAATAACATCTGTGGATTTAATTTGTTCATTAAACAAAAATATATAAAATATATAAAAACAATAAGGATATAATTTACAACTTACAGGAATCATTAATACATAATTCTTCTCCGGTGGTGTATGCCTTGCCCTTTGCCTTCAGATTTGCTTTGACAGGACAGTCTGCATTCGGTCGCATAATCAAACTAAATATTTGTTTGCCTGTCCACAATCTTGTTGGTTTTAGGATTGCAGGTAGAGGAAGAGTTACAATTATAGAAGCGTCTGGACCTGCTAAGAGACAAAGAGCTAATTTAACCTGCTCTATTTGAAGAAATGTGTCCTTCTGAGTCAAGAGATAAGCGCCCGTAATGAAATCTTGCGTTGCTGCTATCAACAAGTCACCATTGCGAGGTGTAACCAAATTAGATTTGTTCTATAAATGTAAAATAATATGTCTTAGTATACTCGTATGCAATTTTCAATAATACTAGTAGTTAAAATAAGAACCAATAAAAGTCAACACTAGGTATGTATGTATGTATAAAATAATTTAAAAAACAAATTTATTACTATGTTGATATGTTGTTTATATTCACTTGATACTAGTTATTGTTCTCACAAGATTCTTAGTCTTAGTCTTGAAGGTTTATCACAAATTTACATCTGATTAGTAATTACAAGTTTTATCACTTTGATTTATTAGAATTCATACTTTACATAAATAGCCCGTGTTTTAAATTGTTTTTTTTTTTACTTTACATTATGACTTTAGAACATAATTTATATATTTTTGACAATTTTCATGTTTCATCTTTAAGCACACTCAATTCAATGTTTTACCTTTCTATTTATTTATATTTAAATTATAGACATCCGATTTTTATTTAGTTCTGATTTATCTATATTCATTTTATTGTGGCATTTATTATTACTTTGTACCCAAGAAAATTCAAACCAAGAATCAAAATGTTTACGAATTTGTTTTTTAAATATATGCATTTTACATAGAGATATCCAATGTTGATTCTTACTGGCATTATTTAATTGATTTTATCTGAAAAGCCTTTAAATCTTTCTTATTTGTTTAATAATTCTATAAGAATATATATTAATTAATAAGTGTTATAATTTACTGCTAGTAAAACCAACGCTTCAGCTCTAGCCTCCTCAGTTTGTGGTACGTGCAGGTTCATTTCATCACCGTCAAAATCAGAATTATATGGTGTACAGACGCACTCGTTGAATCTAAATGTTCTATGTTCCAATACCTTAGTTCTGTGTGTCATAATGCTTAATTTATGCAACGACGGTTGTCGATTAAACAGCACTAAATCATCATCTTTGAGATGTCTCTCAACAATGTCACCATACTACAAAGAACAATATAATGAAATATATTAAACTGCTAATATATATATTTTAAAATTAAATCTCTATTATTATTTAAATTAGCAACTTCTCTCCGCCCACAAAAAAAAAAACTGAAAAAAATACCTAGATATAAAGGTATTAGGTGGCTTTTATATACTAATTATGAATTATAATCCTGATTTTTGTACTTGAACGATTTAGTAGAAAATAGTAATTGAAAATGGGGATACTGGCTTAAAGTAAGATAGTATCCCTCTTATCAAAATTATTCGAAAAACAAAAAGTTAGTAGATCAGAATTATAAGCTTTTGTGCTTTCAAAAACATTTAACAGAATTGATCTGTCTTTAATAGTTTAAAAAATATAGACAAATTCTGTTAAATATTTTTTAAAGCACATAATTTTGATCTTGATTAATTTTCTAGTTTTTCATGTAATTTTGATAAAATACTAATTTATATTAAACGATCTTTCAATTGCCATTTTCTGCTAAATTACTCAAGCACAAAAATCAGAACTAAGGTATATAAAAGCTTTTGATTTGTATAAATGTTTTTTCGATTTTTTATGAAAAGCGATGCTAACTTAAAGATCTTAAAATCATATTAATGCTACCTGCAGCTCTTGAGCAACTTTCTTTCGATCGCCATATCTGAGATATCGCCTGTCTTGGGAGTTCTTATATTGTATAAAGTTTGCTCCAGGATGTATATCCGGACCATTTCTAACCAATTTTCGCATTAGTTCTATATTTGAAGGAGTGACTCTTTCAGGATATGTTAAAGTCATCGCAACATACATGGGTACACCAACCTATATAAAAATCCAATTTCATATATTGCAGGCAGTTTAAGTTTGTCATTTATACTCACTTGATCTATCCTGAGATTTGGATCAGGCGAAATTACTGTACGAGAAGTAAAGTCAACACGTTTACCAGATAAATTACCTCGGAAACGACCTTGTTTTCCCTTTAATCTTTGTACTATACCTCTACCAAATTTTTTAGGCTGGAAGTATCAATGTGTATTATTTGAGAAAAAAAGATAAATTAGAAAAATGAGATGTTTATTAAACAACTTACTTGCATGTGTAAGGGTATTCCAGACATTTCACTATTAATGTAAAGACCACAATGCAATTGTAGAAAATCCCAATGTTCCATGTACGTTTGTATAGTAACACCTTTTTGCCTACGAATAACGTCATTGATAAGTGCTAATTCTGACAATTTCGTTGTCAGATAATCTTCATTTGTACCAGCCTTTAGGTCAGATAAAACGCTAGGTCTAATACAAATTGGTGGAACAGGTATTCTTGTTAATATCAAATCTACTGGTGTTGAACATTCAGGATTCATTAGTAAGAGGTACATATCGCCTGTTGGGATTCTATTAAAGAGTTCTTGAACCTTAAAAAAAATATTCCTATAAAATTAAGCATGCAAGAACATATTCCATAAAATGTTCTCTTTTTAAATCCATACCACATTTGGATATAAATATTGATCAAATACACATCTGTAGTTTTGTTCTACTGTATTCTTATATTCTTTGTCACGTTTTGTCGCTGGACTCAATTCAGCCAATTTCTCTTGGATAAAAGGATCAGTTTCCTTTAAATTCTTGTACTGCTCATGTACAATTTTGAGAAAACCACCCTTTTTCACAGGACCATTGTTTGCTTTGCAATTTGGACATTCTGTTTTTTTCTTTGCTTTTTCCCAGATTTGTTTACGTAATGCTTTACATGCCAGATATTCTAAATTCGGATTTTGTAGTTTGCGTGAATAAAATCTTCTTTCATCTAGTGTTAACAAGACATGAGCGCATCTCTATAGAAATTAATATGTTAATACAAAATACAATTACCAAAATTATCAAATTTCAATAAAGTTATATATTACTTTGCAAATAGTCTGTAAAATCTGAATAATTGATCTAAAATAGCCAATGTGAAAAACTGGAAGTTGTAGATCCAGATATCCAAAGTGTCCCACACACTCATTCAACTTTTTATTGCATGTTTCACATTCATTTCCCATAGAGCTCACTCCCTATAGATAAAAATATTAGTTTTAACAATTCAAAAAGTATTGAAGTTAAAAAAATATTAATATCATTTTTAAATACCATGCGTCTGTCAAGTGCTCCATGCACAGCTGGAGTATGTTTCGCATCCTCGTTATATAAGTTTTTGGAGATCACCTCTACACTAGCCTGCATATGCATGTCATGCATGCTGTCCACACCGAAAGAAATGTGAGAGCTATATAAAAAGAATATCAATTCGATATCACGTCGACGAGTTACGTCTTGCATCATCAAAAGTCACAAAAAGTATCGCATATAAATTATTTGCTATGCTTGAAAAAACTCTACAAGCAAGTCTGCAAGACTTTACAAACGAATTTACGTACACTTTGCTGGCGACATTCGTCTCCCTGAACTGTTCTTTCACCATGTTTAATATTATTAACTTATTGCAATCTCAATTATCAATTCTTCCTGCCTTTTTCGATCGAAATTCAACGCGATCGACGAGCAACTTTATTCACGTATTCAAGAGATACTGTCCCTTTCGTAAACATATGTCTTAACCTACATATGCTACTAACAGAAGCTGTTGATTGTTTCCCCCACATGTACGTCCGTGACAATCACTGCGAAACAAAGACATCATATACATTACAATTAAAACCGTGCAATAAAATCATGCAAAATGGTATAATTGTTTCAAATTTCTTAAAGGAATGGAATCCGCTCCCATGAAGGAAAACGTGATCACTCCCGAAATTTACCGCCTCGCTCGAACGGAAGTGACACTTAAGTTGCTTTTTCATGCAGCGAAGCAAAGCTAGCTTTTACCCTCTCTATCGATTTTCGATGGATACAGCGAACTAGTGAAGGCATGCTGAAAAGTTCGATCGTATATTTACCGTTCCACTACCTTGCGGACGCTGTGGGTGAAATCTTAAACAACTGCGCCGACCCATCTACGAATCGTGAGCGTCGTAGGCTCGATGCGGTCGCGATTCATGACGTTATCTATGACGTTCTGATTGCGATCACATGATCTCGATCGTTATGTGAAATGGGGTTGCGAACGCTGCGGACGTTAAGTGGAACGCACCCCAAGTCGAACTTATAGCGAAGTAACATTAGAAAAATGTTGCCGGTGAAGTGAAAGAGAAATTATAAAAAAAATATACAGATATTTATTATAGAATTTTAAAATTATAGAAGGAACATCTTTGGCAGCGTCAGAAATATGTACAAAATAAATAAATAAGTAATAAATAAATGTATAAATAACAAAATAAATAATAAATAAATAAAAATAATAATAAATGTAAAAATAAATGTAATATAATGTAATAATAAATGTATCATCATAGCCAGTGCAGCGATTATGTGTCGTCTCCTAATCTCTATTGCAACTGTACCACTATACTATATTGCTCCATCTATATTGCTCTATTATTCGATGTATTGACAATTATAATTCAATGGATATCGGAGCACAGCCAGTCTTACGCTGCTTTGCATTGAGGGGATAAAACGCTTAAAACTTTTCTTCGCTCTATGAAAAAGAAGGAGGTGATAAGCAATAGCGTTTCAACACTACTTTTCATTGACGTAGAGTGGGGTAAAAGCTAGCTTCGCTGCATGAAATTACAGCTTTAAATATTTATTAAGTATGTATGTATAATGAGAAGCATAAATGAGCTTCTTTTTCTGTGTAGCTAGAAATAGAAACTCTTTAGTAAGAATCTGGCCATCATATCTTTTCAATATCTCGATTTTGAAACGTTTTGATTGGTCCGCCATTTTTTCTCTAATGACGTATTAATGTCACGTGACATCGATCACAGCATCTAACGAAGCCTGTTTTCAGCATTTTTTCTTTTATTTTTATTATAAAAAGAAAAAGATAAGAAATTATATATTCTACAAGGTTTTTTGAATGTAATTGCCGAATATAAATCTTCATAAACATTGCAATCATTCTTGGAATTTCCTACTCAGTCAAATGTTAATATATCATACATATCTCAAAAAGTATAACAATTAAATTATATAGAAAATAGCGTTTTATATAGGGTGCGTTCCTTTATTCACTCCGAGTACTCATGCTATGACGTAATGGAAGTGTACTGCGGCTATCGTTCCGTTTTAATTTCGTGCGCTTTCTAACTGCTTCAAGATTATAAAATGGAACGCAGTTGCAGTATGTTTTCAAATTCCAACTGAAATGGCTGGCATATGTAATATTAAAAAAAATATAATTTTATTATATATATTAAATATAATATAGATAAATATATTATATATAAAATAATTAATAATAATAATAAAAAAATTAATAATATTAATATTAATAATAATAATAATAAAAAATAAATAATAAATAATTTCATAATATTATATAATATCATAATAATTTCATTATATTATATTGAAAGATATTTATTAGATTCGGAAAAATAAACGGAGACCGACTGGATTTGAACTTGGGATCCCTCGTTTACTAATCTGACACTTAGTCTGCACGACCACGACGGCTCCTCTCTGTTAGCTGTTTATATTCCGAATCTCTTTCATGACCACTTACCGTCGTCTAATTCTTACAATATTATTATATCATATTATACGCTTTATTTTTTTTCAGCATCAATCAAGGTTATTTCAGTCTCTATGGAAGCAGCCATCTTTGTGCTTTAATTGCTTTACTTCGCTGGTGCAATAGCTGCAACAGGAAGTACGTCAAATCAATGACGTCATAAAATTCAAGGCAGTACTTTCGGAGTGCACTACTCTATATCGAAACGCTATTCGTAATACTAACAGTACTCGGAGAATAAAGGAACGCACCCATAGTATTGCTAGTTACATAATGAGTATTAAAAAAAATACACAACTTTGTGAGCAATGTATTAATAGTAGATTCTATAAATTGAAATTTTTTATGACATGCAAAATTAGTACAATTAAGAAGTTACAAAGATAACACTTTATTTTTTGTTAATCAAACATTTAAAAAACTGGAATATATATTCAGAAAATACCAAAAATTTATTTGCAATAATAAGAAATTTTTAAGTTTCTTAATATTTTAAGTAATAGTCACATCTTGCAATGTCTTAATTTAAATACAAAAATAACAAACAAATTTGCAGTTTATAGAGGATTAAAGATATCTAGGATTTTAAGGAAAAGGATTTTAAGGATATCTAATAAAAAAAGAATTATTAAATATTGTGACAGTAAGTCAATGGCAATGCATAATGCAATAAAATAAATTAAAATAAACTGTTAAACTTTATTCATTTAATTTCTTCCTTGTTCATCCAATAGTAAAAATATCATTTTGCACTTATCATTGATTACATGTTACATCACTGTTACAAAAATGTAATTACTGGCCAATATAATATTAGAAATTATTTATTTTGAATATTAAAAGCAATATTATTTAGTGATTATTAATAATTAGATATAGCAATATTATTTAGTGATTATTAGTGATTAGATATAGATATTATTTATTTAGAAATTGAGTAATCAATCACTATCTTTCAGCATTCGATTTTTATAAAGACATACGTTACATATCTAAAAATAATTTTATTAAGATTTTATTAAAGAAAAAGAATTATGTCATAATCTACGAAAAATAAAATCTGTCTGAATAATATTCGATATATGTTTCGTAAGTTTTTCTGAGGTTCTGTATGTTCCATGTTCATTTCATACGCTTGTGCTGGAGGTCGATCATGTAACTTTTCCCCTAAGGCAGAAACGTGAAAAGTTTCACGTGAACTTACGATCATGTGTTGATTTTGCGGGATCATGTAACTCTCTTAAACGTGAAAATGTGAAATTTTTCACGTGAACTTTTTCACCATGTACCTTGGTGACGGAAAGAAGGAAATCTAGGGAATTAATAAATATACTTTGGAATTAGAAAAGATTAAGGTTGTATTAGGAAGTGTACGTAATACATATACAATTGATTATTAAAAGATGTATATAATACTGTACCAATAAAATAATTTTCATTAGCTATAAAACTATGAAACTATGTTTCATGATTTCACTTTCCACGCATCCAAGCTACATACATAATCGCTGTACGTGAAAAGTTTCATGTGAAATGTCAAGGTGTGAAAAGTGAAAAGTAAAAAGTGAAAAATGAAAAGTGAAAAATTTCACGTAAGTGTCGGTCCACAATAAGTGATTTAAGCTTTAAGACGTAAGAAATTGATCAATTATAATCGAATATGCAAAGAATAATCGACTATGATTGGTCAATTTTTTACGGCTTAAAGATTAAATACTTATTGTGGACCGACACTAAAGTTACATGATTGACTCCCTGAGGATCTAGGTTCTCCGCGGCCAACATCTTTTTCGTCATCAAACTCAGCACATCGAGGACACCGTTCCTCTAAATGCCATAAGGAGTGAATGAGCGCGCCATCTGTGGGTTGTCGTCGCACCTACTCTCTGAGGACCAATGTCAAAAACCGAACGCATCTCAGTTTTTGCATATACTTTTTCGCATATATTTGCCCGCATAAAAGATTTTTTAATACAATTTGATACAATTAACATTTGTTTCATACAATACAATAATTATATTTTAATTATAATTATTATATACTATACATCTGTATTATTATTCTCATATTATTATTCCGATAAATATAAACTATAACAGTAATATTTCAAACATTTACCAAATAATAGATATAAAAAAATTTTAGCGACTTCGTTAATTTTTTATTAAAAAATTTTTATTAAAAGGGTAATAAAATAAATTTCATAAATTTTTTGCAACTTCTGGATATTTAATAGAACGTATTCTTAGCAGATTTATTTATTTACCGATAATTATTTATTTATTACCATAAATACCGTGAAAACCGAATGTGTTGCTACAGCTTTTTCTTCGCTCCGGCCTTAACAAGTAAAATCTTGTTATAAATATTTTTCCATTGCGTTCTCACGCGCTTGTGCCTGGTGCTCAACATTTCGATATGTAACTGGTTGCGACCGCAGGATATATATATATATATATATATAGATAGCGACTAATTG